AGTCAATCATTTACCTGCTGCAAGTTAAGCTTATTAATCAAGAGATGTTTTGTTATCTTACTTAAAAACATTTTGATGTCCCTGCCCAAACGTGCTGCTGCCATCAAATAAGGTCGTATTTTCATGAAAAATACACTTTGTCAGTTTAGACTTATGTTGTTGTTGCACTATTTTCAGTTGAAAATAGGGTTTAAATGTTTTGCAAAGCACCAAAATCTGTTTTTCCTCAACATTTCACACAGTATCCTGACTTTTATGGAATAAGGGTTATATATTTGTTGAATCTGTGCATCAGCAGAAGACTTTGAAGCTCCTTTTCTGTTCAGAATCATCAGTTTTTCATTTTTCCTGTTTGCAGAAGCAGGCAGATAGTGGTGTGATCTGTCCGTAATACTTTTGTCACAGTTAACAGGAAGTATGCCGTGCCAAGGGAGATATGTGAAGTGGATACAAACCTACATTTTCAGTTTGTATCTGACTCTCAAAGGTCCATCTGCCATCACACTGCTTAATTCATTACATTCTCAAAATAAAGTCTAACTTTTTTAGGCCGTGCAGTCATTAAGACATCCTGTGTGAGTCATACAAACTCCCTTTTCCTTGCCTCAGGGTCCGTTCTGACATTATTATCTATGATTTCATCCAGAAGTGTGGGCTCACATGCTTGTAAAGCTCAGCTGAAAACCATGGACTGTTTTTGCGTTTCATTTCCACATAATAGAAGCTTTGTTTGGTCCGCGTCACTCAAAGGATGTCACCAGAAAAGAAAAGTCAGAAAAATCTGTTCTCCGAAGAAAAATGAGTCAAACCACATCCATGTCTTTTGAGTTATCCATGCGTACTATGTGATGTTATTTACAAACCTGGATGGATTTCACTGGTATCTGAAGGGATGTGATGGGAGCTCATAAAAATGTCTTATTTCTTCAGCAATCATGAGGCAATGTTTTCTCCTCTGCTGGCATACACACCCTTATGAATACGAACCTGGTGTAAAGTGAGGCTGGCTTGAACACTGGATTCTTTACAGGTGTGTGTACAACAAATAGGCCTAATCTTTTCATTTCCGCAGAGGTTTTACACACACGCACACACACATCCACACACAGGCATACTCACAAGTTGAGTAGAAGACATTTCACACTAATGGGCTGCTGAAGAAAAGAGGCACTGAATACTAAACAGTGCTTATCAGAGGTGAGAAACATTTCTAAAATACAAAGAAACCAGTCTGCTCTGCTGAACAAACTGCATGAGTTGTATGGTTGCAAGGTAAAACAGTTCCATCCCTCTGTACCCTTTTCCATAATTTTATGTATCTGTATGAAAAATAAATACAGGAGGAAACTATTACCTTATCTCTATTCCTACAAGGCAAACATCTGCAAGTGGTGCATTCACAAAAAGCACATTTTTACATTTCCATAGGACACATTACAGCTTACATTGTTGGTGCTATTTAATCGAAATGCTTGCATAATAATATGCACCATCAGTTTGAAACTTTCTGCAAAGTTGTAAGAGCGTCTGGTTACCTTGACTTCAGGCTACACCCCTGGAACTGTAGAATTTATAAATCATGCTTTTAAAATATCAATGCATAAATTGTTTATGACCAGCAGAGGGCGGCTTAAACCACAGCAGGTTTTCTTCATGTTTTTGAAAAAGTGATGCATTGCATGCAGTCACGACGAGGCTGCAAAGACACCTCCCTGCAGAGCACATCAAAAATGTTATGTTCAGACTCCTGGATGAAAAAATGTGTAACTGTGACTCACATTTTTATGACACTTGGTTGTAGTTTGGACACATTTACCAAGAACTGGGCTATTACTTGGTACATTATTGAAATAAAACAGAGACGAAAGAAGATGTGGTCTTTTCTGGCATCATTTTTCTGTCATCTATGGCATTATATGTCAAGTATGATGATATTTGTGTGATGAAGAAGACCTGGTAGCTGAATTTTGTAATGTGACATGAAATATTCAATGTTAACCTTTTCTGTCATAAAATTGTGTCCTGATATTTTATTTAAAATCATAATTGATTACACTTTTCTAATGACTGCATGGATATTACATTGGTGCTAAAAATACAAAATTAATGGACACCGGGCAACATCCAAGTGAAAACCAAGATGAGTCAAGCTGACTGAATGTCAGGAACACTTCAATGTGTGATCAAATACTGTGCAAAAAAAAAATCCTCCAAATTTGCAGTTTTATAAGGAGGAACATAATTAAATCTCTGTCAATTGCTAAGTAACAGATTGCAAGAACTTTTGTGTCTTTGAGCTTTCCTTTCAAAATAAAAGCTCTACCAAACTTCAAATTCAAATGGTGCCAAAGTGTTGTTTGCTAGCGATGCTGTTATGAAGACACAAAGCTGCATGTCTATTCATGGATTGCCCCAACAACACACTCTCATAAAATAGTCAATCTAAACAGCAAAAATGAATGTGTTTAAGTCTTTTACAAACTAATGAAATGTGCTAGCCTGATTCTCTTTTCACATTCTCCATTACTCTCTGTCACTTTGGAAGCTATAAAACCGTAGAAGTAGGTCGGCTTAAAGTTTCCACAATGGTGCGGGTTTGATTTTCATCTATTTTATTGTTATCAGTTTTACAATCTTAAACATATACTTCAAACAACCTAGGCCATCACACTGAATTTGTTCAAAACACAAATAGGTTTTCTGCAGGAATCTGTATAATTTTATTCCTTTATTCCTACCTGATCTTTTTCTGACCAGGTAATCTGATTGTAAACTGAGACTTATTTCTGTAATAACCTTTCAGTAACTTGATTTATTCACACTCCTTTTTGTACTTGTACTACTTTGACTAGTTTTTGAAATACATACATACATACATACACACTACACACACACACACACACACACACACACACACACACACACACACAGACATATATATATATATATATATATATATATACATATATAAATTTTACTTGATGTTTTATTCAGCAGATAGTTTTGTACTGTGCTACATTTTACATAGTATCAGTTGATGCAATAAAATTAAGATCATGCAAGCTTAGCATACTTTGGATGATGTCTACACTGAATAAAGCAAACCTCTAAGCTTGCCAAGGGAAATTGTCTAAATTCTTGTCAAACATTTCTTATTACTGATCCAAACATAAGTCCAAGGGCAAAAATTTTCACGCCAAATTTTCATTTTCAATTTTTTTCCCCTCTTGAATGAGAGTTACATCTCCTTTCAAGAAACCCAATAAGGAAATTCTGCTGGGTTTTTTTGGCAGCTGTTTTCACTCATTAAAATGATTTAAATCTTTACTTTTGTCTCCCAAAAACAACCCCCCTGCAAAGTCAGCCTTGCAGTTATCATCTGAATGCAAAACTGACTGAAGACAATACAATTTTTTTTGATTTCTTCATCCTGAATAGGTGCATAGTCAAAATTACTTCTAGGGTGCTTTTTTTTTTTTTAACATTTTAACATTTTTAAGGTGTAATATCTGTTTTTTTAACCCATCTCTACTGCCATGGCTCATAGAAAGTCAGGACTCTGGATTTATTTTTTAATGAATTACTTTACAGTTTTACCTGATAGCATATTACACAGTCAAATTAACTTCTACTTCGGTTAAATATCATCGTAGGCTATTAATAAAACTTTTTTGCTTGGGGTATTTTAGTTCACACAATTGGACCCGCGCCAGGTATCCTATTTTATTGTGAAAACCTAAACCGGATGATGTAGCATTTATGCTAGCTTCACTATACAACTGAAGAGCGGATTTTCTCCTAATATGGCGTAAAAAGCGTGTTTTAAACCCAACATATGGATATATTATTAAGAAATTTGTATATCAGATAACTTTGGCCTTTTGTACGACTTAAATAGGATGAAGTTTAGTTATTAAGTAAACTCCCAAAGTAACCCACTAGGCTTTTTATAACCCTCCCGAGACTCCTCCTACAGAGTTGTCCTAGGAAACAGTAACAACTGTAAGAAAGTGCAGTCAGTGCTCCTGTTGCTAACCGGGGAGACTTTGGTGGGAGACCCTCACCGCCGCAAGTCCATTTCACCCCGTAGTACAAACTTTTTAACAGGATATATAAACCGACGCTTTAAACCCTGTTTGTCTGCCCATTAGGAGGATTATTATGCGTCTAAAAGCTGCTGCTGCTTCTTCACCCTGAGCTTCTTCTGCTTGAGGTAAGAGGACTCATTCTCAAAGAAGTGTTAAATTTATTGTAGACTGATATCAACAGACTTAACGTTGTTTTGCTTGTTAAATCTGCTTGAAAAAGCGTTGTTTAATGGCTGTGGGACGCTGCGTGTTAACTTGTTGCTTGGTAGCCATGACATCCTCATTCAGAGCCTGCAGGGCCAATGTGGGAACTTCTCACGTTTCTGTGAACTCAGACACGGCGAGGAAACACTCAGCAGCCCCATAGAAATGTAAAGTGATACCATACAAAAGGTGTTAAAGTATAATTCAGTCAATACTCAAACCAAAGGGGAGAAAAGAATCCTTAACAATGTTAGCTGCCATCATTAGAAAGTCTTGTTTAACGTTGACGTCTCTGAGGAAAGGTATTATGTAGATTTAAAGGTCCTGGGACATGCCTAATAATAGGAAACAACAGTGAGAATCATTGGGAACTATTTGGGTTAAAATCAGGAGACTTTAGAGAGCAAGCATATGTAATTTGTCCCTGAGATTAAGCCAAATAATTAAAATACAAGGTAAAAATGTCACCTCTTAAAGTCAATTTTTGAACATTTCCAGATAAATCTCCAAAAAACACCATGACATAATTTTAAAGCCACTTTTTTACAACACCCTTATCTTGGTGGTGCCTTTTCTTTTATCAAGGAAGTTCAATTGCAGAGGGTTTGTTTTCCATGTCAGTGGGAGGATCTGCACACATGTGAAGGAAACAGTAGCCTCCTAATTCATTTACAGTCGCTTGACCTCACCCACTCCAACACGTTCAAAGGGCAGGCATCTAAACATGAACGCCCTCTGTTTTCTGTGTCCTAACACACCCATGGGTTTGCCGGGAAGTTATAATGAGGAACACATCCTCTTCAACAGGATGAAGTGAGACTTTATCCATAATTCAGTCAGAATTAGTGCTCAAACTGTTCTTGTAAAGATGCTCAGATGCCGGTTGAAAGTGAGAAAGACAGGCACAAACATGAGGAAGCTCTGATCTCTCTAGGCTCAGTAAAAGTATATTTGACCCAGAGTAGACTCTAATTAACAAGTAATTTTATGCTGTGAGGTGTCATGATGCCTGCAAACCAACACCCAAATTAATGATATGAATCCTCAGATTAAATACCAACATAAAACAAAACATAAAGAAGGTGCAACCTGCTTTATTATCCTCTACCTCATAGCACTGCCTCATCATTTTCTCCAACAGCGAGTGCTTTTTAAGGACAATTTTAAGCCAAGTTTCCACTCCTCAAACATATTGGTATGACCTTTGAAAAAAAGTGGCCTTGATTCACTTCACATTTTTTATAAGCATCCGTTTCTTGCTGTCATCACAGGGCTTTTCTTACAGTCAGTGTTGACTCAGTATATCTGACTCTGGGCAGCTTAGTCATCTCCCTTCTCTGCGTGTTTCCCCTGTGGATAGCTTCATCTGTGGGACTGCTCTGTAAATCAGAGTCACTGCCTCTGAATGCGGGCAAAGTATCCACCATCCTCGTATGAAATCGTGCAGAGGAGATGACGGTGTGAGAAGGAAATACCTCTGTCCTAACTCCTTCCTGGAATACTTATTGAAGGTGTGCCAGATGTACAGTGTCATGCTTGGCCAAATTTGATCTTTTATGTCTCTAAGAATATTTCAGCTAAAAATGTACAAAATTGGCATTACTCATGAGGGTTGTAAATCACCAGTTAATTCATATAACATCAATTTCCTTTGGCATTACAATATGATATGATAGGCTGCCATGAAACAATTGTGACTCAACTTGATTTAGAGGCCATCTAAGGAAGTAAAGTTTGGAATATTAGAGAAACTCCACTTGTGATTTCTAGTCTTTTGTACTTTGCATAAAAGCATGTTTTCTATTTGCTTCAAATTGAAGATGTCTTCTTGTAAAACCTAATATAAATATAAAAGCCAAAAAATCAACTCTGTAAGAAATGACACATGACAGCAGTAAAGAAAGTAAATCTAATAAGTACAAACGTGCAATAATGAAGTTCCTTTCACACCAGGACCGTTTTTTATGTGCAATTATTTCGGACATCAAAATATTTTTTTGAACCCGTATCCTGTCAATACAAGGCTTCACATCAGCGACGTTTTCTCGTCCTGCGATATTGCAGCATTTTTTTTTCCGATCTTGGTTGATTTTTTTAAAGTTTCGCATACTGTGTCCACTTCTGACCAACCAGATTGCGTGTTATTGCGACGTCTGATTCACCGGTATATCCAATATGGCCAACTGTCTGTTTGTTTACATGTCAGAGAACAGAGTGCTTTTCGATAAAAGACACAAACATTACAAAGATAACGATCTGAAGGACAACTTGTGGAGAGTCATAGCGTTGGATCTCTCATATGACGATGGTTTGTGTGCTTTAACAGTTTGCTAAATGTCTTTGTTTTAACTTTCATCAGTGCTAAGTAACTTTAGCCCGTAAGCTAACCTGTTCAGATACAACAAAACATATGTATTTTCACTGTCTCAAACTCAATCACAGCGTTGCTGTCACAGCACTGTTAGGTCTCAGTTGTGACGCACAACTGACGCATCCAGAAAGTCACAAAATCGCATCAGGCTTGATGTGTATAGTCAGGCGGATCAAAATTCTCCTCAGAATATTTCGTAATTTCACGTTCTATATTTTCGTCGGCCGCGGCGTGTAAGGAAGGACCTTAAGAAGGCAAATGTGCAAAAGTAAAAGCTGATGTATTATGGAGGACATTAGGGTAATGTTTCAAAGTCACAATGCTACCAAATATAAAGCTGCTTCTCATCCTGGAGGTGCAGGCACATAGGACCCTGTAGTCGTTGGCATTTATAACATGGATTGTTTAAAATGGCTTTCAAGTGTTAAAATGAATTAAGTTCTCCATTCAGACTCCAAAGTGTTCACTCTGAAAATTTCAGCCAAGTGCAGTGCTCTACCTCGGTAGTGTACTTTCAACAATCCAAAGCTTGAGTGTGGAGCTTGGGACACTTCTTAACCTGTGTTGTTGCCAGCTTGGATATGTAACAAAAGAGTCAAACACCTTGTTGGTGCAAGTAGTCAGTGATTTTCCAATTTGTATTTCATTTAGAACAATCAGTCAAAACTATTTTTATTGATTAATATAGCTAAGTGGAAGGCAACAAGCAGTTTGAAATTTGACAGCTCCAATCACTGTCAATTGTTGGCAATTTACCACCTGATTGCATACAGCAATTATTTCTGATAAGAGCACATCTGCCGTATTTGATATGAGATTGCATCACATTACTACAAAGCATAAACAATAAGCTGTACCAACAGTCAAATCAGAGTTAAGACATGGGATAGATCTCAAATTCAAAGCTCTTCTGAAAATGTCCTGTCTTCTCCTGAAAATGTTTGGACATTACCCAAATCAACGGCGCATGAGCAGGCAAATGTCTGAATTAGTTAACCTGGACTGCAGTCTGAGTTTTTCTAGGTAGCCCCCTTAGTACACTGTCTGAGCCAATGTATGAACACAGCAGGGGGTTCACAGTAGAGGTTGGAATCACCAGTGACCCCACGATATGATATTATCATGATACTTGGGCCACGATACGATATTATTGTGATTTTTAATATTTAGCAATACACTGAGTATTGCGATACAGTATATTGCGATTTATGTAATTTTTCAACTGTTTAGCTAATTCAGCATTTGTCTTTCCTTTATGTTTGTCTTATTTACACTGTATTTTATTTTCATGTAGTACATCCTGCAAACCTTAGATATATTAGTTGTACTAACTTTCTCCTGCTCTATGGTGTCACCTCTGCCAACCTCATTAAACAAGCAGTTAATTTTATTTTTCTATTATCATAGATTTGACTTCATATTAGCAATTAATTAAAAAATTGATATTTGGTAAATGAGGTAATACGATATATCACCAGACAAAATATCACAATACTATGATGTATCAATTTTTTTCTCCCACCCCTAGTTCACAGCAAGGTACTGGGTACTTAAATGTCTTTAATTTCACTTTAAGTTGAGCTCTGTTGCACTTCACTGCTCACATCATTTGTCTGTGAGCATTGTCTTGCGTGTCCTACTCAGGTTCCACCTAGTGCCTAATCCGAACAAACAAACAAAAAAATTTCATTAAATGAGAATGTGTCTCGCATATGAAAACAACAACCGAAATGTTTTCATACTGATGACGTGCACCAGGAAGCAGCAGACAAAGCTGCTAGTGAGTTCTTGGATTAAATGCAAGTAAACTTCCACACACAATAGCATTTTTATTTGCAAGGCCATCTGGGCGAAGACTGCCAGTCTCCATTGAACAAAAGGCTACAGGCTGTTTTCTTTGCATGTCTTCCGGCAGTCTTTAGGCGGACTTGTGGGGTCGTCTCTGCCAGAAATATGTATTTAGCTTCAGTACAAGAGACAAATGAAAGAGGAGTTGGCCTCCCATTTAAAGTGCTGTAAATTACCGTGAGGATTGTGCTGGCTCCATGCTGAACCTCGCCAATTTCTCATCTTCACAAACCCCCTCATTTAATGATGGAGGAGGATAGGCACAGTGTCAGCCTTGTAATTACACTGTATTTAGTACAGAATGGACGCATTAGAGGAGGACTTCCAGGTACTGCTTCATAGTGTGACACTCTCTCAGTGATGGGTTTTGTTTGCCTGGGAGGGTGACTGTGCAGTTCCTCGCCAATATTCACAATAAAGCCTTGACTTAGTTTTTGTTGGGACTGGAATCACTGGAATCCTCTCAGCATGCCAAACAGCAGCCGCACTCACTGTTCCAAAACAGCGGCCTTTTCTGCAGCTTGAACAAATTTGGTGTCCCTCTGAGTAGACTTCTTCCTCTTGGGAATTATCAGGGCAGACTTTACTGTTAATTGTTGCTGTGCCTGTGGTGCTGGGACATTTTTTCTACATAACTGTCAGCTTTGGGAAACTCAAAATGAAGTGTCTTTTGCTTTTGTCTCTCACATTACAGTATTAGATATAATCCTGTTACCTAAAATAGGACTTGGGTTCTAGGGCTGCTAAGTATACTGCAGTAGCATTGTTAACACATAAACTTATGTTATATGAGAGTCCATAATCAGCATGTTTTATCCAATTTCCTTGTGCCATGCAGGCTTGGGGCATTTTTGGATAGAATAACTGAAAACACCTCAATTTGGTGCCAACACAAAAAATAATACAATTTAAGGGCTTGGGTGAAATAAGACCATCTTAAATGTTAATCTACAAAAAAAAAACAAAAAAAAAACAGAAAAAACATTAGATCAGGAAAAGTAAGACAAGACATTTTGAGTCCTTTGACTTGAAGAATTGCCTTATGCACATGCATTTATGGGGTTAAAAAATAGAAACAAGCAGGGGACTGAGGTCAAACTCAGAGACACTGTGTCAAGGATAGATTTTTTGTGGGGCACATGCTCCAACTTGACTAAATCAGGGTTCCCTGAGCCTCCATCTCCATGCAGCTGTCAGTCTATACTAATGCTAATGCTAGTCTAATGCTCCAACACCAAAAATACAGAGCTGCTACAATTTTTTAGTGTGTGTGTGTGATATCATGCTACTTTTAAGCATGAGTTATTCATAGTGCAAGACTCAAGAATAGCCAAGGCAGAAATTGGTTCCTTAAGATAAATCTAAGTACAGTATGAAATTATATGATTATGTTATAAGATAATAGGGGTGGGAAAAAAATGGATTCATGTAAGTATCGCAATTTTTTGGTTTACAATTTTTAAATTGATTTTTATGTTCAAAAACCTTTTTTTTTTCCAGATTTAAGAATATATCTTAAAAACTTACTTACATGTGATGTGTATTTTTTGGGGAAATATGGTTCCTGGAATAGTGAGAAAACAATCAAAATGGTTCAACTGTTTCACTAATGTTAAAACTGCAGACTAAAAATAGAGAAAATTGACGATATAGTAGAATCGCAATTTAAATCGAATTGGCATCCAAAAAGTCGTAGATGAATCGAATTAGGAGAAAAACGTATCATCCCAGCCCTATGAGATAGGATACAAAACAATACATTACAATTAGGGCCCGACCGATGTGTTTTTTTTTGGGCCCGATGCCGATTATTAGGGGGGGCATCCGATTACCGATTAATCAGCCGATTTTGTAAATTTTTTGTGTCGTTATTAAATATATATATATATATATATATATATATACTGTAGATATACTGTAGACTGCAGTTCTTCACGCTGACAGGAAGACCGACTGATCAAACCCAGACCAGAAAAGTGTTTTCAACAACCCCCCTATTCTCTGCATTTAATTTGTGAAAATATCGGCGAAAATCTGCGAGTTTTGGACGATTACCGATTAGTCTCAAAGGGGCTAAAATTGGCTGATTCAATCGGCTCGCCGATAAATCGGTCGCGCCTTAATTACAATATATATAATGGTACTATATATTGATTCAATTTGGTACCAATTTGGTTAAATCTAACCAAGAAGTGGACAGGCTTGTCTTTTATTGAAACCACAGCATCATGTAACTGCTACAATTTTCTGCATGGTCAGTTTTGAACCTCTGTATGCTAACCCTCTAGAAAACAATCACAAAACAAACAGACAGGGGGCTTGAATACAACCATGCAAATAGAAACAGTCTGAAACTGGATTGTCAGGATGGATGAGGTGAAAAGCAGCTGGGATATTTATTGTTGGGTTTAAAGCTGTCTGAAGGAATCCCTCGACTGTGAATGAGCTAAAATCAGATTTGAGTTTGTTTACCAGAGATGTTTCCAACCTGGGAGTGTAATCCAGTCAAGCGTCATGTGGATGTTACAGCAGGTATCAAGAAGGCCACTGAACATCTGTCTGCTCATTCAGGTGGGTTTTGTTCAGGGCAGAGAGACAGAGCAGGACTTTCATTCCCTCTCTATGGACCCCAAAGTAGTGTTAAGATGATCAGGTCTCTGACCTGCTAATGTGATGCTCATACTCTGTCTGTGTCACTGACCAACCACATCATTGAGGGTCAGTGCAGACAAGTCCCCCTGCTGCTCCAGGGAAATGGTTTTTCAAGTCTTAAATCTCATGTTTGACTGACATTTGATTCACAGGGATACATGTTTTCTTCAGGAACAAATTTAAAGATAAATATGCAAACTGCAGCGGGTCCTTTGACAGCTCATATTTTCCATTTAGACATATCCAGATTCCCCAAGACTCCTCTGAGCTGCTGATAAGAAATGTTCCTGTCTGGAGCATGGTACTTTTTTTAATGATGTTTTGAGCATTTACGCCTTTATCAGATGGTGGATGGAAGCAAATTAGATCATGACAAAGATGTTTTAAAGGTCCTTGACCAAATTTGAACAAGAGACATTTCAAACCAAAGTCAGCCTCTAAACTCCCTGAGGTGCAACAAAACAGCACATGTTTAACTTGAGAAGCTGAAGTGATATTAAAGTTTCAGGTTTATATCAAAGTTGAAAATACTTTTGTTTCTGAGGTTTAATTTTTACACAATACTACTGCTCCAACAGATTACTGAGGGGGAATAATGTAACTCCAAAATATTACACACCGTCTGTTGCCAGGTTGTGGATTAAATTGAGCCAAGTACATATTGTATCTTATTGTATCATAACACATAGTGAGCTACTTCATCCTGATAAAGCATCCTTGAAGCTCTTCAATGAGTTCTTTTTGCTCTCTTCACTTTATCTTATGCTACTTAATTGGACTTCAACTACTAATTATTTTTTTCAATTCACCAGTATGTCATTATCTTAATAATAGATATTACTGTGTGGCTTATCAAACAGTAAAACATGCTGATCACATTACCCTGTAGTTCAAATCCTTGACTGTAATATGATTGATGATGTGCCTCCACCTCTTCCTGTTGTAAAAGAGTGATGCCAAAGTCTCACCTTGAAGGACACTAGGGCTTAATTTGAGTCACGGCAGAAGTGCTTTTATGCTCCTTCTGCTGATTGAAACACACATTTAACTTTTCTTACTCTTAGGATCCCTCATGGCTGTGCAGTCCACAGCAGCACAGGTTTGTGTGTTGGTTTGAAGCAGAAACTCACAGCTATCGAAAGTTTAATGACTCATTTTAGTGTTTATTGCTTTTCCTTTCCTGCTCTGCTAAACCAGTAAAACTCATTGCAAGAGCTTTCTTTTGTTGACAGAGCTGACTGTCTGCACACCACATCCCAAATAATCGAATGGAACTAAACATCTCTGAAAGATAAACATTTGCACACAAACAACATATTAAGAAGTAATACGGGAAAAATATTTGAGACAGATCTAGTGTCGTCATAGTGTCATAGCGTTGGATCTCTCATATGACGATGGTTTGTTTGCTTTAACAGTTTGCTAAACGTCTTTGTTTTAACTTTCATCTCTGCTAAGTAACTTTAGCTCATAAGCTAACCTGTTCAGATACAACATACCATAAGTATTTTTACTGTCTCAAACTCAATCACAGTGTTGCTGTCACAACACAATTAGGTCTCGGTTGTTACCTTACATTTATGGATTATAGTTTAATGTGCTTATCTGGCACTGACCCCGACTCAGTACATGCTATCATGACAGACAGCCATCTAGACACTAGTGTCTAATCAGAACTGAAAACACTCAGTCTGCTGTTGTGTCAGTCTTCTCGCTTCCACCCGGGACGTGCCTTTTTCCCCCCCGGAACGTCGCAAAATCACATCGGGCTTGATGCGTACAGTCAGGCGCGTCAAAATTTGCCTCCAAACTTTAAACTTCAGTCATACTTCTTCTTTTTCTAAAGTAAATGACCTGACTCCTATTATTCCACACTGGCCTGTTCAAATCAATATGTTCTGCAGGCTTTGCTTGTCTGGTTCTGTTTCACAGAAACATGAATATATGAAAATAATTACCAATAGGCTATGTAATGTACACCAGATGTTCTGGGATAATGAAACGCTTGAGGTTGAGCAGCTGTTGACCATGCTGTCTCATGGATATTTCCATCAACACAAAAACACTGTTCTCAGCCTTGAGGCCTTCTCTGTATATTATCCCAGCATAACACATGGCAGCTGATTATTTTATCAGAATGACTGATAAACCGATTCAATCGTATGATGTGTATCGGCACACGCTTTGAGCCATAGCACAATGACTAAGGATGTGTTTAGGAAAGCTGAGGCAGGTTAGCTGCAGCAGACACCTGACCCGTGGCCTGCAGGCTCCTCCTCTCCTCTCTGACATCAGGGCTTTGATCTGCCTACTGTCTGTGCTAGCACAAAGCCAAATTTAGCTCAGTGTAATCAGTGTGGTGAGCGCTTGCACGCCTGCTGCTGCTGTGGATACCTGCCTCATATAAACACACCTGCTCAGTCCGATGGACTTAAAATGAATTCAATGTGCTCCTGAAGGAGTCTGCACGCAGCCATCGCCTTCAAAGAAACTGTGGGTAAGGTTTCTATTGATGCATTTAGAGGCTGCTTAGTTGTCTTAATCAAAGGCTCTAAAAGTTTCTCTGTAGTTAAAGATGACATTTAAGAACATCTAAGTAACTAGCTATTAGGGTGTTGTTGTTATTGACAACCCAAAATCATTGATATGTGAGTAACATTTTTGTTTTGAAGGTCCTTTTTGTTTGGATAAAAGTCTTAAGGGAGAGAGTTTGACTCTGGTCGAGCTCTGTGCTTAGCAACACCTGCCTCATTGATAACGCTTCATGGATTTAATAACAACACTTGTGCAAGAAAAACTGTGCATCATTAAGGTTTCAGTCAGGCTCTGGTAGAGAGAAGTCGCACACACATTTTCATAAGAGCACAGTTTTATCTTACTAAGGGCGTGGACAAAGACCTTGAAATTTGAATAAAAAACTAGCAAGTGCTTGTGTGTTTGTGAAAAATTTGGATGTTTGACTCATGTGAGGTGTACTTGCCCTTTAAATAATATGCAGCACGTGTCAGATGTGCTTAAGTGATAAGACAGGATCTTCCATTCAGTATATTTGCGGTTTAATCTCATACTTACAGTAAGTTAATGTCCTTAAACAAGTTGTAGTTACATCAGCATATCTTTAGATCAGAGGTATTAATCTCTGTTGGAAGTCCTGTTCAGAGAAAGCTAATGCTAACATTAGCTCTGCTCGACTGTAAGAGTTCAGTTTCTTTTGTCGTTTTTCTCACTGAGGTCTCTGCCTCTCTACAACAAACAGACCTGGTAGTTTTAAAATAAAATACACAGAAATAACATCAACTTCAGGTTGAATATTAGTGGCTCTTTGGATAACACTGAATGAACTGTGAGGGGTCCACTACTCAAACTGCTTTACTCATGTTACGGGTTTTGATTTTTCAATACATTTCTGGTTTTTGCAAGACAAGAGTTATCTGTCACACCACTTTTAGTCAAGCCGTTACTCATTTTTTGCTCCATCAATGAAAAGTCAAAACATCACTCTGTTGTATTCTTATCAACCCTGCTTTTACAACAATCACAAATCACTATTATTTTGCTGCTGTGTGAAACTGACAGTTCATGTTGACTTCGGTGCCTACAAGGGCTGTGACGATATTCTTTTCTCCCGATTCGATTTTTTGATGCCGATTCGATTTAAATTGCAATTCTACGATATCGTCGATTTTCTCTATCTTTAGTCTGCATTTTTTACACCAGTGAAACAGTTGAATGATTATGATTGTCTACTGACTTCCAGGAACCATATTTCCCCCCAAAAATACACATCACTTGTAAGTCAGTATTTAAGATTTATTCTTAAATTTGAAAAAAGGAATCGATTTTTGAACATAAAAATCTATTTTAATATTGTTAACAAAAAAATTGCGATACTTAAGTGAATCAATATTTTCTCCCACCTCTAGTGCCTACTGTAAGCAAATATGTCACCTCTCTGATCTTGTCCTGTTCATCCTGCTTTCTGTTGACAATGAAATGTGTGAGTCATTATTTATATTTGCTGTTAAAACTGTAATGACATCTTTATTTCATCTGCTGTCAATTTCTCTGGACTGACACCCAGCCCCTCACATCAGGTTTAGGCGTTAGATATCGGTTGAATAAATAGCAATCACATTCGTTGTGATAATACTTGCTTTTGTGTGTCAATAAAAGGCAGCAGTTTCAATTCCAGTCTGTTCCACAACCAGTTAAAAAAAACTCCCCACAGGGTCTTTAAAATGCCTGTTTTTGGACAGAGAATCACTTGGAGAAGTGAGGACGTCGTGTACATCACTGGCATTTCAGTTCCCAAAACCACTGACAAGCTTTTAGTTTCACACTTCTGCAAAAACTACCCAGTTTTGAATGATTTCTACAGAAGCAGAGCGTGGGCTGGTGTGAGTCATCTGGTTGAAGTGTAACGCATTTGAACGATTCCCCTGAGAGGTCACCAGTGTATCATCGGGTAATCACCCACACAAACAGTTGCATATTTGTGGGCAATTTAGAGTTTCTGATTGACCAAACTTGTTAGTCTCAAAGTCTGGTTTTTAACTCGGAGTCTTTTGTTGTTAGATGATGGCACTGACTACAAACATGGCCACCAGCAGGGCTTTGTAGATTAACAAACCACCATGTGTTGCATCCTTGCTTCACAATAGAAAACAACCTTTACTGCAGGAGAGTAATGGTAATCTGATCAGACCTGCTGTGAGCCTAAAGTTTGCCGTGGTTGGGATTCTTCAGGTTAAACCACTTACCTCCTAAACAGGACTAGCGGTCACTTTCCTTTTCCAAAACTCTGATGTCTCACAGTCTTTCTTCTTGTTTTCTTTACTCTTCTGCCCTCATTTTGTGTCCTTTTTACTGCCTATTTGTTATAGGCACACAAGCGCTGAAGTGCAGTAAGCTGACAGCGAAATGTCATATTGATCATTTTGAGACATTTTATACCTGCGTCTGCTAAGTTGAAATCACATTTCTCACCTTGCTATCACCTATCGTGGTGCTTTGAGGAATTGGATTGCCAAGTGTAGCCAATTTCAAGTAGCAGAAATGGCCCTGCTTATTTTGGAATATGTTGAACATTTACAGAGGGGCAGAGTGTTTATCCCTCTGCAGGTTTCTAGGCCAAATTGACGTTTAAGCATACTTCATAAGAAAAACTGCAAAAAAATTGGCCAATGTCAGGTCTTTCTGACGAGGTCATCATGCTTTAAATGTGCTGCTTGACATTTTGAACTTATTTGCT